TGTAATCAAAAAATTATCATCACTTTCTAAGATACATTAATTTTTTTTTTTTTTTCCTAATTGTCTAACTTTTTCAAAGTCAAAAAAAAAGTCTCATTTTCTAAAATCAATTTCGGACATCAAAATACAACCGCAATCTACTTCCATTTTAATTTTCTCAAACTTGTCTAACAAAATTTTTATCGGTTTAAATTTCTTCATACATACTTATAAAACACTCACCAAAAAATTAAAGTGCGTGATATTCGAACCTTGAAACTCTTAAGTTATTTATTTTATACTGACATCATAATATCATACATAACCAAATACTCAACAAAACATCACTATCAAGGAGTCATTTATCACTTTACTGAATTACCACGCTCAACGACTCACCCACGTACGACTACACAACATAATGTCAAAGAAAGAGTAGAAAACACACTGAATAATTGAGTTCAATCACAGAATTTCAAGACAAATTCAGATGAATAAACCAATACAACAACAAAATCTGAATAAACTACTTTCAACAAAGTAAAATTATCATTAAAACACACTGAATAAACATATAGAACAATTTACGGAACTTGAAGAGCATTAAAAATGAAGAAGATTGGACTTACAAAAAAAAATTTCAACACTAAATTAAAACAACACCAAACACCATCAAAAGATGAAATTATAACTTCCAACAATGTAAAATTAACAATAAAACACACTGAATAATTAGATGGATCTGTTATTTGCTTTAAAAGAACTCAAAAAATGATTGAGATTGGACTTTGAAGATTTTTTTTCAAAATGAACTAAAACAACATCAAACACCATCGAAAATTGCAATAACTTTTTTCAACAAAATGGATATAATAATAAAACAAACCGAATAAATAAGGGATGCATTTTATTGAAGTTAAATAACATTAAAAACAAAGGAAATTGGACATTTAAAAAAATTTTCAAAATTAAATTAAAACAACGTCAAACTGCATCAAAAAAAGGATTAGAAACTTTCAACAAAGTGGATATAATAATAAAACCCCCTGAATAAATAGACGGAGCTGTTATTTGCTTTAAAAGAACTCAAAAAATGATTGAGATTGGACTTTGAAATGTTTTTTCAAAATTGAGTAAAATAACATCAGAAAAAGCATCAAGAACTTCCAACAAGGTTAAATCAATAATAGAATGGACTGAATATACAAATGGAGCTGTTTTTTTATTTTGAAGAACATTAAAAATGAAGGAAATTGAACTTTGAAAATTTTTTTCAAAATTGAGTAAAACAGCATCAGAAAAAGCACCAAGAACTTCAAACAAGATCAAATCAATAATAGAACACACTGAATAAATAGACGGAGTTGTTTTTTGAAACTGAAGAACATTAAAAGTGAAGGAAATTTGACTTTGAAAATTTTTTACAAAATTGAATAAAACAGCATCAGATAAAGCATTTGAAACTACAAACTAAGTCAAACCAATAATAGAACACACTGAATAAATAGATGGAGCTGTTTTTTGATTTTGAAGAACATTAAAATTGAAGGAAATTGGACTTTGAAAAATTTTTTCAAAATTGAGTAAAACAGCATCATAAAAAGCATATAAAACTTCCAACAAAGTTAAATCAATAATAGAACACCCTGAATAAACAGACGGAACTGTTTTTTTATTTTGAAGAACATTAAATATGAAGGAAATTGAACTTTGAAAATTTTTTTCAAAATTGAGTAAAACAGCATCAGAAAAAGCACCAAGAGCTTCAAATAAGATCAAATCAATAATAGAACACACTGAATTAACTGATGGAGCATTTTATTGAAATTGAATAGCACTAAAAACGAAGGAAATTGGATTTTGAAAAATAATTTTAAAATTAGACTAAAACAACACCAAACACCATCAAAAAAATTATCTAAAACTTCCAACAAAGTGGAATCGATAATAAAACATACTGAATTAACTGATGGAGCATTTTATTGAAATTGAATAGCACTAAAAACGAAGGAAATTGGATTTTGAAAAATAATTTTAAAATTAGACTAAAACAACACCAAACACCATCAAAAAAATTATCTAAAACTTCCAACAAAGTGGAATCGATAATAAAACATACTGAATTAACTGATGGAGCATTTTATTGAAATTGAATAGCACTAAAAACGAAGGAAATTGGATTTTGAAAAATAATTTTAAAATTAGACTAAAACAACACCAAACACCATCAAAAAAATTATCTAAAACTTCCAACAAAGTGGAATCGATAATAAAACATACTGAATTAACTGATGGAGCATTTTATTGAAATTGAATAGCACTAAAAACGAAGGAAATTGGATTTTGAAAAATAATTTTAAAATTAGACTAAAACAACAACAAAAAGCATAATGAAATGAAATTAAAACTTCCAACAAAGTGGAATTGATAATAAAATAGACGGAATTAACTGATGGAGCATTTTATTGAAGTTGAATAGCACTAAAAATGAATGAAAATGGACTTTGAAAAAAAATTTTAAAATAAGACTAAAACAACACCAAACACCATCAAAAAAAGCATCTAAAACTTCAAACTAAGTTAAATCAATAATAAAACACACTGAATAAACAGATGGAGCCGTTTTTTGTAGCTGAAGACCACTAGAATTAAAGGAAATTGGAGTATGAATAAAAATCTTAAAGTTGGGTCAAAACAACATCAAACACAATCAAAAACTGAATTAACATCTTTCAACAAAGTGACATCAACAATAAAACATATTGAATAAACAGACGATGCAATTTATTGAAGTAAAAGAACTCAAAAAACGAACGAGATTGGAGCTTGAAAAATATTCTTAAAATTACCAAAACAACATCAATTTAATTTTACTATACAAAAAGGGGTTATACAATCGCTCAAATGTAATACTAATAAACTAGCAAATAACTATCAATTGCCTTACATCAACTTGAAGAAATACATATGAAATTACAACAAACTAATTTCCAAAATATACTCATTATAACATTACAACAGACCATTGATTAAGTACAAATAAACAAGAACTTCAAAATGGTCTTTAGTTCCCATAGCTACTTTCAAAACATGGCCCATGACTAGTTCTTGTTTAGAAACATTGGAGTTAGTGTAAATAGATTGATAATTTCATTTAGTTTTAATTTTATTTAGTTTTCTTAAAATCTTTTGTTTACAATTTGCGATCATAAAATCACTCTTCTTAACAAATCAATTCCAATTCCACCATCAATGACAACACCAAAAAGTCCACCTGACCAACTATATCATGATTCAAACTAAACAGATACCCCAATTGATCATCTAAACCAATATTTAGCTTCTAATCACAAAGCATACTCAAAATAAAAATCGACGTATGAAAAATCTAATTTAAAAACAGCAAAAGTAAAACATCAACTCCACGACGAACTGACGGTGCTCGATCTCCAAAAAGTGCATATCCATAAATAGATACAACTCGCTGAGATGGAAAAGCTTTCAAATGGTGGAAATTTTCAGCTAGTTTTCATTCAAGATTAACTTGGATTTAGTCATTCTGAAAACGATTGTTCACCAAAAAGTCCACCTGCCAACTCTATCAAGATTCAAACTAATCAGATACCCCAATTGATCATCTGAACCAAAATTTAGCTTCTAATCACAAAGCAAACTCAAATTACAAATCAATGAAATCAATTTACAACAAATGTAAAACATCAACTGCCGCACCAACTACTATTGCTCGATCTCCAAAAAGTGCATGCCAGTGTCATGATACAAGTTGTGGAACAGATAAAGTTTCAAATAGTATTAAATAAGCATTCAATATTATGTTTAGATTAATTTTTAATAAGATATTATTCATTCGAAATATCTTTGGACAGTTACTCTTTGTCAAGATCTAAGAAGCATTAAAGGTAACCTCAATTAGTCTACTTAATTACTCGATTTAATAGAAACAAAATCATTAATGTAATATATCTAAATACAAAAAAACTAACCTCCATTAACTCAAACTCTATTAACTGGACCCAAACTAACAAGCAATTGCATATAAGGATTGCTGAAATCGTTTGAAAGCATGTAGAGCCAATGCTTGAAAAACAAGATCCCATCAGAATTAGCTACACGATTGGAATTGAGCTTTGAATAAAATATAACATAAAACAACTCCTTGGTATGTTGATAGGGGCAATCACCTCGATGCACCAAGCCACAATTTTCACATCCATTACCAAACCTAGCGTGCATAATATTATTGACCTCTTTAGTACAGCATGCTAGGTCGGAGAAACCATAACCCTTTCCATACATGACCATTTCTTTCAGGAATAGAAACTCTGAACTATTATAAATTTGCTCGGTTTTTTTACAGATATATTCTAATGGTGATAGTTTGAGTGCTTCAAATCCTAACAATAGTTTTCTATATGCATCACTAAGTTCTTTTCCTGACGGAATAACTCCAATTGGTAAAGGCTTGATTGTTAAGGGTGACATAGTTCGATCTCTATACTTTTTCAATTCTTCAATAAACTGACTATCAACATTCAAAAACTTTTCAAACGATCTATTTTGCATCATCTCACTAACGTCTTTTAAGTCGACTCTTCCCAACATAATCTTCAGTCCCAATAAATTATTAATAGTTGAATCAAAATTGCTAGATTGGCATCTATCTTTATGGAAAAAGCACTTACCACACTTATCGGGTGGAAGGTCAAATGGTCTTTCATCAGCAATTGAACGATAAATGTCTAAAATATTTCTGACACCATATACAAAACCTTTGTTTTCCGTAGCATTAAAAAATTTATTGAAATCGCTTGTGGGCTCGCATAACTTCACCACTTCTTCGATTCTCATCGTATTTTGTTGTCCTCTTGACGGTTGTGCAATCACATCATCATCATCACTAAAATCCCAATCAACACTATCATTTGTTGCATCAATACCATATTCTAAAGGAAAAGCCCTTTCTTGATTTATCTCAATTTCAGGTTCATTTTCTACCTCAGCAAACTCCATCTGATCTTCTGGTTCCACCTGCCCTGTAATTTCCATAACTGGACTACTTGTTTTATCCTTAATAATATTTGCAATAACATCATTTTCTGCAATCAATTTCTCATTGTTTGATTCTTGACTAATTTCTGGATCTTTTAATTTGTAGAAATCTGCAATTAGTGAAAAAATGGATCTTGACATGTTAAGTGGAAGGTTTTGACGGTATGTGTACAATATAGTTGATATTCCTCCATTTCGAAGTCTACCAGTGCATTGTATATAAGTACTAATATCCACAACTGTTTGATAGTATATTATTTGAAAAAAATTGGGATTATTAAAACCCACAGTTAAAGCCCTTGTTCCAAGAATTATCTTTTTACCATCAACACCTAAAAATTTACTATCGAACATTTTAGAACTCTTTAAACCAACAACAACACCTATCAAATTTTCATCAAAGTTAATTAAACAGATTTTGAGAAAATTTTCCAATGACGCAGTACTATGGAAATAAACAAGACTTATTGAATCTGGACTATGTTTTAAAACAGCTTTCAATCTTTTAAGAGTTTCAACAGTAACATCGTCTCTTTTGACGTTTCTGAACTGGTGAACTATAGATTTGTGACAGACTTCTTTAATACCATCAATCAACTCAATTTTAACTCCAAACTGTTTTTCCAAATGACCTATTAAAGTTGAAGTTGGAGTTGCAGTTAAAAATACCAGTTTCATAAACAACTTGATAATATTTGCTCTCATTAAATTCAAAAATCGATATTCTTCTTCTTCAATCAAATGAGCTTCATCGAAAACAATAAAACCAAGACGTCTTTGATTCCTCGTCAACAAATCCTCAAACGTTTTACTTTTCAAAAGTTCATAATTGCAAACAATGACATCTGTATTTTCGCTAACATCAGTATTTTTTTCACCATCAATGGCCTTGAAGTTTTTCCCAAATCTCTTCATCATTTCTGATTTCAAACTACCATATGGTACAACAACAACATGTAATAAATGACAGTCGGTAGACTTCTTGAAAAATTCCATTGGTGTTGAAACACAATCTGTTTTACCAGCACCAGTTAATGCAGTTATCAATAAAGATGTACAATTACCCATTAACAATTCTCTAATTGCCTTTGATTGGAAACTTGTAGGGTCATAATTTGGATATTTTGCTAAAAGTTTTCTTTCAATATCTAAAGTACTGAATTTTGAGAATAAGCGGAGTGGATCAATTGGTGGTAGTTGTGTTTGTAGTTGTGAAAGCTCTTTTTCATCCACTATCTCAAGATACCTGCACCAGTTCGAAAACAATGATTCAACAGCATGAAGCTGATATTCGCCAAAAAACCTGTTTATACTATTTAAGTCTTGAGCGTAGTTAATTCTAGCAGTTAAGGGAGTATGCCCTTGTAACCTTTCCATAAAATCAGCTGCATCTTGATGCAATCTAGCTGCAACATTTCTTTTGGCCATAAAAGATACGGCTTGTCTTAAAAATCTGGAACCAAGTCTTTTAGATGGTAGACAAGCATGTAAAAAATCTGTGAAATTTCTCAATTGAATTAATCTTCCACTATTGTCTAAAAAAACGAGTCTATAAAAACAGTTTATAGCATCAACTTCACCTCTATAATCATCTGATCTAATTTTTCCCAATTTACCTTCTAATAACTTAATCTGCAATGGTCGAATAGCAAACAAAAATGCAACCATCATTTTAGTCATAACCTTAGGATACCAACGAACTCTGTATTCCAGTGATCCATTTTTATTGTATGATGTTGATATATGAAGATTATCATTAATGGTGAGTATATTTCTTTCTTCATACGAATTTGCTCTAAACGCCAAAGTATGGAGTTCTGGGAACCTGAAGGTATTGCAGGATGTGATGTAAACCATCACCATAAGTGCTAAAGTACACTTTTGAATTATCTCCAACACCTTCTCTTCGTCTTGAATTAGTCCACTTTTAAATGTATGTGGAAATTTTTCTGGTAAAAAGTTGGTTGGTTTTGTTGTTGATGATGTATAATAAGATAAGTAGTTGGCATATACTAATTCTTGAGTTACATCTTTTCTAGCATGAAGACAAATCAGTTGCCAAGATTCGTCAAAAACAGTTTTAGCAGTTTTATAGATATCCGTTAAATCATCTTTCGAAACTGTTACATTTTCAATTTTGCAGGTATCATTATCTAAACATTTCACAATATATGCAGCTTTGATTTCCTTTTCTTTTAGTAATGCCGTAAATAAATTATCAGTAAGCACAGTCCCAGGTACTTCGTGTTTTGATCTTGATGATTTATTTTGCTCATATTTGAACAACTTTTCGGCACTAGTAGCCATTGCATACTTACAAATATTTTTGATACTGTTGAGTCGTTTAATACAAAACGAGGGCAGATAAAACATGCTTCCCGAAAAACGAGTGAAAAATAACGAAAATGCAGCAGCAATTAATGAACTTGGTTCCTCAACAAATCTTCTAACCAATTTTGCAACTGATTCTACTTTTCTTTCATCTGATGGATTTTTTATTTCTTCAACAAGAGCCAAATCAGTTGGATATTTTTCACTATCAATATATTTTAAATCTTTAGCAATCCAAAGTATACATAAAAGTCTTCCAAATGAATGAGCTAATGATTCTGCATAAGTTGGTGAATGTTCTCTTATGAACTGAGTGGTTTTTTCGCCCCCAGGATGTTTCGTCGTGGTCATAATATGCTTGAATTCATTTGACGTTACAGCTTTTTTGTATAATGTTAAATAAACCATTTTACCAATCTTTATTATATCAGCATCGTCTGCATCTTTCAACATCTGAATGTCTTCATCATCATACTCTATATTACCATATTGTCTATTTAATATAGTATTGTTTCGAACCAACTGAAGTGGTTGATCATCAACATGGGGAAAATCAAAATCGTCCTCGTCAGGTTCACCACAAACAATCATAACATACTCATTGGTATTCAAATTAACAGTTGCTCCAGTAACTTTAGTACAAATTGAAGATGGGTATTTCAGGAAACTTTTTTTTCCTTTTTTAGTACTCATGAACCTTGTCACAGGATCCACATATTTGAAAATGGTTCTGTTTTTAATTCTGCAGATTCTTCCTTCCAAGTATTTGAAAATTTTCACTGGTCTTAAATGTTTCTTTCTAATTTCCTCCAAAACAAGTCTATGGTTGCGTTTAAAACTAGATCCCCACAGATTAAAAATCTTCCCATCCTTAATAACAAATCCATCAACATATATAAAGCCATTAATTAAATCTTCAACAGTTGATCCAAGCACATCTTCTTCGTCAACGTCCATTCTATCTTCGTCTCTGTCTGAGCGTCTGACTTCTTGATTGAGATCCTCTTCTTCGTCATCTGTATCAATATCAGAATTATCATCGTAAAAAAGTGAAGAAACTGACTTATCATAACCATTGCCTACTTCTTCTATAAATTCTGGGTCGTAGTCCATCTTGTAGTAATTGATATTAGTTTGGTTGTATTAATTGATATTAGTGATTGATAAATTAATGTTTATTGTTGAATTTAATTATAATTGATTTTTACAAAAGACTACGCGTTTAGTAAAAGTTATAAAATTACCTGAAATAAAGAGTTTAAACCACCAAGGTTAAGACTATCTCTATATACTTTCTTTTTCTATTCGCAAGGCAGTTGATAATTCATCAGTAAGTACAGTACCAATTACTTCACCAGAATTTGAAAAACTGGTTTCTTTATTTCTGGTCATACTAACAGATATTCTTGATACTGTTAAGCCTTCAATAAAACATAAAACATGTTTGAAAGTCAACGAAAATGCAGCAGCAATTAAAGAACTTGACTCTTCAACAAATCTTCTAACCAATTTTGCAGTTGATTCTACTTCCACTTCATTTGATGGATATATTATTTCTTCAATAACTTTTGAGTCTTTAACAATCTAAAGTATACTTAAAAGTCTTCCAAATGAATAAGATTCAGCATAAGCCGGTGATTAATTGAGTTGACCCCATCGTGACATAGACACTAGATGTTTAAACTCATGGGAAGTAACAGCTTTTTCGTATAACGTCAAATAAATATTTATCATTCAATATCGTCTGCATCTTTCACCTTAGCAATGTTTTCATCATCATACTATAAATTACAATATTTCTATTTGATATAGTATTTCATCATCTTACTACCTCTTGATTTGTTGGACTGACTTGTTTAGTTGTATAGTTGTTGATATAATAATATAAGATTTTTAAAAATTGACTTGAAAAAAAAAATTGATCTAATTCTGCTATCAATAACTATGAGAAATAACGACCAAACATCAACATTTACCATCACTTTCAATTAATAGTAGATTCTGAGAAATGTTAAAACTAATTGAATGATAACATGCCTGAGGATTCAAGATAGATCGTATCGAATCTTTAACAGTCATTACAATCTTGACACAATCACAGGTCTACCATAACAATGGAGCTTCTGCTTTTGGAGATGATTTTTCTACACCACCTTAAACAACAACGGTCAAAGATGAAGCTATGATGATTGTTAGAATTTCTACAATAAAGTTTTACAACATTTCATAAATTTCACAAATTCACTAAAAAAGCATACAAAAATTAACCTTAAAATTACCATCAATTTTATCTTTAGAAATTTCAACTTCACAAATTTTATCAAAATTGATTTTTAAATTTGGAACATATAATTCTTCAGTTATGAAAATTTTGGATTTAAATAATTTTTTAAAAAATTTAGTTCAGTAACAATTAAAATTAAATCATTGATCATCACTTATAACCATTTTTTTAGCAATTGGATTCTCAACTAATCTTCTTTCACATACTAATGATAAAATACATTCTATTTTATATTCTATTTCATACTAATTTACTGAAGCTAAACTTTAACTGTTGCAAGCACATTGTTAATTCTTGGACGTTTATTTTGAGTAGTTGATTGTTCCATTTGTTTTGAATTACGTTTTCTTTCAGTATTAACTGGTTGTTGAGCATTATTTGAATTATTTTCTTTCCTTAAATTATCTTTATCAAGATAAAATTGTTTAAGAAAATTACTTGGAATTATCTCCTTAAGTCTAATAACATCTGATTTTCTCAAATGATCAATAAAATATCTATGATTCAATATATTTTTATATAAATCAGTTACTACTTGTTGCTCTCTTTGTTCCATTTGAGTTGGATCCCATTTAATAATTTCTGGATCATAAATAAAAGGTTCCAATTTACCACCATGCTCTCTCCATTTGAGATTCATTGCCATAATTATCAATTTTGAATCTAAATTAGCTGATGCTCCACTCCTTGACGACAATTCATTAGCTATGTTTAGCTTACAACCTTTGTGCATTTCTTCATAACATTGAGATATAGAATTTAATTTATCTTTAAAAAGACAAATTTTTAAAATCTTATTTGTTTTAACAACTAATTTATCATAAGGTCTTACTTCGCAAGTTTCATCAAAAACTTGTGGGTGAGAAGTAAAGTCTGTAACTTCGAATTTAATCCTTCTATGATCATGTGTCTTGAACACATTCAATACTAAAAAAAACATTTTTGTTTTTAAGGTCCTATTTTGTTCATCTTTATCTCCTTTAAAACGTGGAATATCCTCTAATTTTCTAATTTGGTAATGTCTGGACATGATTGATTTATGATAATGGTTGAATTGAATATTAATTTAAAAAAGAATAAAAGAAAAAAGTGAAGTAAAAAATTGTTGAAATTGATTAAATTTGTTTATATTTATATTAAACTTGTTTATATTAAATTTGTTGATATTAAATAATTTAATTTAATTTTTAAGACGCGTTTTAAAATTTAAAGTGTGGTTTATAACTCATTGTAATTATTATTAGTAATTTATAGTTTTATGATATGTTATACTTTCAAACATTGTAGTAGATATACTCTAAAGTTATGATGAAATTGCAACTCCAATTTTACAAATGTTAAATCTTTAATGATTTAATTTATAATCTTAGACTCTAATAAAAAAAATATTATGAGATATTTAAAATGTACTTAGAAAAAAGAAAAACTAATAACAATAAATAGATACATCAATCATAAATAACAACAACTCAACCAATTGTCCACGAGAGATTTATCAATAATATACTCCTTAGATTGGAATAAGATTTGAAACTGATCAAATGTAAGAACTTAAAAGTTTGAAGGAAAATGCATTGCAAAATGAAAAAAAAAAAAATATTATCAACAACTCATTGAAGGAAAATTCATGAATAATCTCGACAAACAAATTTAAATACTCACAAATAAATGTTATCAACAACANAATAAGATTTGAAACTGATCAAATGTAAGAACTTAAAAGTTTGAAGGAAAATGCAATGCAAAATGAAAAAAAAATAAATATTATCAACAACTCATTGAAGGAAAATTCATGAATATTCTCGACAAACAAATTTAAATACTCACAAATAAATGTTATCAACAACAGACTAGAGGAAAATTCAAGATTAAATTAGATCAATAGTTGCCTTTAAATTGATTCAAGTGATAAAAAAAGGAAAAATTGTTTCATCAGTTCGATTAATGGAAAATATAATTATCGAAACGTTGCTTTTATGAATTGAGCTTTACGTTCCTTTTCCATAAGTAAGTGAGTTAATAAATTGTCTGTGAGCTTAGTACCAGGAACTTTACTTGACCTTCCAGATATATTCTTCTCGTAATTCGTCAAAGTTTCAACACTTGTAGCCATTGCATATTTACATATGCTTTCTATGCATTTTAATCTTTTAATGCAAACCGATTCCAGATAGTACCAGGTTGCACCAAATCGAGTGAAGAACAACGAAAACACAGCTGCAATTAACGAATCTGATCTTTCAACGAATCTTCTAACCAATTTTGCAATTGAATTTACTTTCTTTTCATCTGATGGATCCATAATGTCATCAACAAGAGCCAAATCAGTAGTATATTTTTCATTATCAATCAACTTTAAGTCTTTTGCAACATAAACAATACATAAAAGTCTCCCAAATGAATGAGCTAATGAAGAAACACATGAAGGACTCTGTTCCCTAATAAATTGTGTGGTTTTCTCGACCCCATGGAGTGTAGTAGTGGTCAAAATACTTCGAAAATCATTTGATGTTACTGCTTCTTTGTATAGTATCAAATAAACCATTTTACCAATCTTAATTATTTCAGCATCGTCTGCATCTTTCAACATTTGAATGTCTTCATCATCATACTCTATATTACCATATTGTCTATTTAATATAGTATTGTTTCGAGTCAACTGTGGATCCTCAGAAGGTTCGGGAAATGTAAACATCTCTTCTCCCAAATCTGTAGACATAGTGATTGAGTCGTTTAGTTGTATAGCCTGATAAAAATATGTATGCGATAGACTTTGCGAAAAAACCAATATGAAATTTAAGTGTAAACACAACTCAAGATTTTTTTGATTGACAGAATTAGAACAAAAAATTTTACTTTAATGAAATAACTACAACATCACAATCACATTCTAACCAAATAGGATCAATCAAAAGTATATGGAATGATTTGAGTTCAGCAATCAACACAATCTCAGGTTCTCATTGAAGACAACAATTTTTGTCATTCTCACTTAATTTTACAACAGATCTTAGAAGTTTACATAGGATACAAAAATTCATATATTCCACTAAAATAATCTACTAGATTCCACCTATACATTTTCAAACAACAATTCCATCATCGATTTCTTCTTTAGTAATTTCTAATTCATGAATTTATTGAAATCAATTTAAAAGTGGATAATTCAATATGATACTACGAGATACAACATCTACAACAACTGAAGGTTTCAAGCAATAGCATGTCTTACAATATAACATTAACGAATCTTGAATAACAATTTTAAAAATTTAAAATTTAGCAAAAATCAATATCATTAATATGACTTTAATTACATAGTTTCCAATAAATTATACTACATTGAATCGAATCTACATTTTATTCGTGGATTCAAATTTTAAAATTTCACTCTTCAAATAAGAATCTTATAAATTCACAATGTAGACACTAAAAACACAACATAAACTCTTCAAACACTAATAAACACCTCTAAGACAATGTGAATACAACTAAATTGTTGCTATACAGGTGTCTCAAAGGTACTAAGATGGCACTGTACTTATTAAATTGAATACTAAGTAAAAACTTCTACTTGACCTGATTTTGATAAAAATGTGCCTCATTTTATTAATTTTGCATCATAATTACCCTAAATTTGGAAAATACATCTATACAAAAACTTGAATTTTTTCATCAAATGTTTACAAAATATATTCAAGAGTAGCCAAAAGGTCGAGTTGCAATTAAAGAGTATCCAAGAGGTTTTCAACTGGACATCAATATAAAATAGTCAACTCTGATAATATAAGCTCACAATCGAATCATTCACTAATAAAGTGTTAGACCATATTAATCTATTAACAAGCCAGTACTTTGCTAACTTCAATTCAACAATCTTCATATTACTATCCCAATGGTATCAAATCTAAACTCAACTGAATTGATATCCTACACAGATGATGATAAAGTAGATGATGATAAAGTGGATAATGACAAAGTAGATGACTACAATTACGATTCATTATTTTTGTGTAATTCTCATCTACCAAATTATCACCAATTTTACCAACCATAAACTAATTAAAGGACAATCAAAATTCAAAATTCATTATAAACCAACCACACTTTAAATTTCTGAGAAAATAAAAAGAATTTATTCTCAGAATTCTGAGCTTCTTGGTTTTAAATTAATATATTAATTAACAACAGTTTAGTGAACTTGTATATAGGATGAAAGTACTAATACTGATTGAATAATAATATGTAATGTAAAAAGGTAGTCGTTCGGAATTAACAAGGTTGTAATGATAACCTGTGACTATTATTATGAACTTAAGAATGAGTTAAATATAAAATATTCAAACACTATTCAAAGTATATTTATTAAGTAGATTGATTGATTAGTATACATAAACTATATAAATTATTTGTTCCCTTTGGATTATTATAAAATTTAGTGACCAAGCACTACTTGTCTCATTTCCAAATGTTATGACATAATAACAATTCAAAATCTAAAAGTTCTCGCTCAAATCCGAATCTCATTGGTAGCATACTCTCAAAAACGAAATTCAAAATTCAAATTCAAAATTGAAAGTTCTCGCTGAAATTAAGTCTTTTTTTCAATTGCTACCAGATACACCCATAGTTAACTCTTAACTATGTAGAACCAAACAGCAGCTCTGGAGTCACAACCAACTCTCTTTTGAACAAACTAGCTATATAGGAAGATGCTCCTTGGCTTGCTGAACACACTGGACTTTTCAAAATTCCAAATATCGCAAAATTGCGGCGTTCTGACAAAACCGCAAAAACGAAAATAATCTGAGATTTGCTACGGTCAAAACGAATTGTTACACAAAATTTAGTATGGGAATTTTGTATGGTAAAAACGAAATTTTTTTATAGTGTAAATGTGCATCGTCCACGCTACATCTCTACCTCAATATTATATTCGTCTCTCAAAATACATTTCTAAGTAAACTACATCTCAACCGCAATACTAAACTCTTACATTTCGAAGTAAACTAAATCTCCCAAAATCAACAACTCTTTCTTAATACATCACCTTAAAACCTCCAAATCAAATCCAAAATTTCAAGAAGCTTAAGTACTTTCAAAATCACAGTCAACACCTTCAGAAATAAATCAACAAAAAACACCTCATTAACTCAACTCCTTTCTCGCCCTAAAATTCTATCACCTTAAAAATTCACTAAGACAAAACAAGAAAGACGACGATTTCAAGTACCTTAAGAGTCAATACACAACACTTTCAAAATCAGCCTTTAACACCAACAGTAAACACTTACGTACCTAATCTAACACTTACGTACCTAAACGCTTACGTACCTAAACGCTTACGTACCTAGTCCAACACTAACAGTAAACACTTACGTACCTAATCTAATAGTAGGTCGACCTAAAACGGGGTCGCCTTAAAGAACTCGAAAAAACGAAAATTCTCGACCTCTTTTCTCGCCCCAAAAAACTACAACTTTCTTTAAGTCCATCATCATAAATCAAGTCCAGAACTAAAGCACTTAACCAACCTCCTAAGTCAACTATCAACATCAACAAGATTAACTATCGAGATCAACTATCAAAGTCAACAATCAAGTCAACCTATCAAAGTCAACTATCGAAATCAACTAAGAAAGTAAGCTATCAAACCAAGTCAACTACCAGAATAAACTATAAAAGTAAACTCTTAAACTCAACTATCAAAATCATCAAAAAGAGTAGTCTAACACAAATAAACTATCCATCGAGTTAACTACTAAAATCAACTAAGAAAGTAAACCACAAACAAAAGTCGACTAAGTAGGTAAACTATCAGACAAAGTCAACTATTATTTTCAACAAGACTAACTATTAAAGTCAACCAAGAAAATCTACTATCAATCAAATCTAACTAGTAGAGTCAACTAGTAAAGTTAACTAAAACTCCAACTATCAAAATAAATTAATAAAGTCAACTATCAAAACTAAGAAAGTAAACTATTAAAATCAACAACAGTCTACTAAAATCAACTAACAAACTAAACTATTAAACTCATTAAAATCAACTACAAAGTCAATAGTCTTACAAATCTCGACAAAAAACCTTTCTCCTTAGTAGTAAGATTACAATAACAAATCTTAAAGATAAATAACCTCTAAGAGAAGGTACACCAGTTATACTATTTTTATTTTCAACTTCATAGATTCGATAAAAAAATAATTTACGAAAATCTCGTATATATCGTATAAGTAACTATTATATAGTAATATACTAGCATATACTAATATATCAACATTACTATACTTTTTTCATCAAAACAAACAAATATATATATTAACCTCTTACTATTAGATCATATATACACTCTATAATAGATTCTATTTTTTTTTAATCAGTAAAACTATAATTTTTAACACTTTATTATTAATCTTTCTACTAATAATTTTAGTAGAATTACTTAGTATACTTTTTATTTTCATTTAAATATATCACCAAATACTATTAATTTAAGTAAAATATAAAAAACTACTAATAATCGTAATTCCACAACTTAAAGTTATTTAGATCACTATTATCAATCATAATAATCAATATAAGTAGTTACTTTAATAGTTCCAGTACCTCTTTCAACTGTATCTATTTTTTTTTTTTTCTTTCAATCAATTTATTAAGTTATTTACCTATACATATATAAACCTACAAAATAAACGCATATAATTCAGCTGGGTTTTGAGGAAACCATTTATGGTCCAAGAACAAAAATGGTGAAAACCTCAAAGTTTTAAGTAATGTTTAGTTTTTAGTTAATTATACAATCACCATTTAACTGGGTAATTGTAGTTAAAATTGTTTATCCATCTCTGTAAAAATTGAAAATTGATTATTTTTTCTGGTTCTTGTCGTCGTTTCTATTACTTTACTTAAACCTCCTTAACTACTTATTTAATAAATTCAAATTTAATATACAGTACTCTCGCTTTCAACAGAAAAAATAAAGTCTAAACTTAATATACAGGTCAACTATCAAAGTCAACTCAAGTCAATTAATTATTAAAGTAAGGTACCAAATTCAACTAACGAAATCAACTAGAGTCAACTAAGGACTACTACTAAAGTCATTCAACAAAGTCAACGTAACTATCAAAACCAACAAAAAAATTAAACTAAAGTCTACCATTAAATAGAACTACCAAGGTAAACCATCAAAATAAAATATCAGACTCAACTAATTAAGACAACTATCAAGGTCAACTAAGAAAGTAAACTATCAAAGTAAGCTCGACTAATAAAGTCAACTGGGAAATTAAACTATCAAGACTATTAAGAGCAAGTAACAAAGATAATTTACGTCAACTATCAAAATCGACTATCAAGATCCACTGTAAAGTAAAGTACCAAAGTATCAACAATTACCAGACTAAACTATCAAAGTCAACTAAAAAAGTTAACTTAGTCACACTTTTAAAGTCAACGAGATCTACTATCAAAGTCAACTATCAAGTTACTAATAAAATAAACTACCAAAGTCGACTAAGAAAGTATTCTATCAGAGTCAACTATCAAATTCAATAAGACCAACTATCAAAGTTAACAAAAAGTCAACTAACAAAGTAAAGTCAACAAAAGTTACTTATCAAAGTCGCCTGTCAAAGTCACGTACCAAAGTCTACTATCAAAACCAGCTATAGTCAACTATCAAGGTCAACGAGTAAAGTCAACTAAGAAGTCAACTA